ATAATAATAATAATAATAATAATAATAATAGATTTGTATAGCGCCATATCCAGGGCTCATGGCGCTTTACAGTAAAAAATGTTAGAACACTGAAAGCTATCAATAATAGCTTGTCAGTTGTTCATTGCTGTTTAATCCAACTTCTAAGAATTCACATAGTCATTTAATGCATGTATTCATGAACAGGGGGCAAACAGGATAGCCAATTCATGGAAAATTTTTAAGTGAATTTAAGACTTTCTAAGATGTGAAATATTTGACTGAAGATTCCAGAAATTCTGGGTGAAAAGAAAAGAAAGTTTTGAAAATGTGGATATACCTTGATCTCTTTAGTGGTAATTCCAGAAAATGGCGTTCCATTTATTAGTAGAATTTTTCGGCAATCCAAATAGGAATGTTTGGTTTAATATTATAATGGATTTCAAGTGCTCATGGTTTCTACTGATATACATGTAGCATTGAAACACTGAACTACCTCTCACTATAACATCTTTCAAAACTGTTGCATAATACAACAGTCATAAGACTTTGTGATTACAATACATGCATGTAGTTACTTGTGGTGGCTATTATTTTCTGTTCCATGTGTAAAATATAAAATTTGTTATTATATAATATGCAATATTAATTACGTGTACTAATTTGTCATTTTTATAGGTCTCAACTCTTCTTCTTGATTTAACAAGGTATTGTCTAATAACTTGGCTCAGCACTGAGTTATAAGCTTAACCAGTGCAATGTTTTGATGCCCTGTAAATGGCAAACGAAAGTACTAAGAAGAAAAAAAAAAAAATAGCAAGGGAGCAATCCAATTTGGGATTGTTTTTGTTGCTATTGTAAGTTCTTGTTTTATTAGATTTTTTGTTCAGTTTTATTAAATTTTTTTGTTTTGTTTTTTATCTTTCCTTTTTTTTTCTTTGAGTTAAACTTTGTAGACTAAAGAGCTTTAACATTTACAATGGAGTGGAACCCAGTCACTGATGGGAGCCTCAGAGACTGTTTTAACGGCATGGTTTACATGTACACGTACATGTACATAAAAAAGTTTGTTAAAATAATAAGGACGTGACTGAGGCTACGCTTGTGTTGTGAGTCCAGAATAAAGTGACCATGATAACAAGGTGGTCGTATTATTTAATTAGGTGGCTGTTAATATAAGGCAGGGTTCTACTGTACAATACTATATTTGTTTTACTAAAGCAATGTAGGTCATTGGACCATTCCATTTCTTTTGGCTATAAAGAAATTTTTATGTAAGTAGGCCTCATTACAACCCTTTTCCATGAACAATGGCAGCAGTAAGTTTCAAAATATGGAATTTGAAAAAATGTATCTGTTAAACATTAATGTTATTTAGTAATCAATACATCCTGCTAGTGAAGGAACCTACAATGTAGGCTTACCAGCCCAGTTGGCTTTGGTTAGGTGTCCTCGCCATTTGTTTATTTATTATTTTCTTGTAAAGATTACATGTATATTGTTAATTAGTTGTAATTTATGTATACTAAAATTAATGAAAATGAGTAAAAGATAAAGTAATTTAAATTTAATATTAATTGCAACATTCTAAAATAATTATGTGTAATATTTATTATCACCTCCCAGGTAACCTTTACATTTTTTTGATTGTAAGTTTCTTTTCTTTATTTATTGTACTGAGTACAGTGCAGAATGTGCCGTGGGTTCACTGAAGGAAATGTTCATTCATCCATATCAAAACATGCTTCAGGTATTTGGACTTAACTTATTTATTGACAGTTGTTATTTTTCATACATAGTTTCATACTCTAGTAGGATGTGAGAGAGGTGTTTATTATCCCAACTTATGGATAGCTGACTGTAAACATTACTGATAAATAAATTGCTATTTAATAAGCCATTTCCGAGTTGCTTTTACCTTTGTTTCAAAAGGAGTCTTGATGCACAACCTGTTATATTGAAATGAGTTTTTCCTGCACGCTCATTGTCTTGCAAATAAAACTTATTTCCATATGAAAGGTTGTGTACCAGGGCTCGTTTTGAAACAGAAGTAAAATACAACTCAGAAATAGCTTTCATGTGTATCTTACATTGATACACATGTACAAATTATGTAAATTGAAATATTTTGTGCTGTTAATTTAATTCCTTGCAGGCCTCAAGTGTCTCAAATACCCCAAGGTATGTACATGCAAATAGCAAACTTGAGGTTGCCAACATGAGTCAAAATGCTAATTGATAAAGATTTACCAAAAAATTGAATAAGAAGTTTGAAGTTGATTGAACACCTTTGCTCTCTTTGATTGTTTACACAGCTTCTAGCGTTAGCCAGTTTCTTATTATATGTTCACACATGTACATAATTGTATGCATGTGTCTCTCATTTTACGGTCTTTTTTATGTCTTTGTTCCATTAGTAAGGAAATAAGATTTCAAAAGCCCTCTGCTCTCTGAGAAATTGGAAAGCATGGGCTGAAAATGATGGTAAATAATGTACAGGAACCTAGTATAATGTCCTCAAAGTGCACCACTCTAGCTGCCAGCAAAATTCATTACACAGTATAGGTGTTTGTTGCATTGGTCTTCATTATTTCAGGTTCCTTTTGCACACAATCACATTGTTACTTACCATAATTTTTTGGTTTATGTTTGGGTGGGTCTTTGATATCAAAGCCCCATTTCCCTGTCACCTCAGTACAGTGTTTTACTGTCAGTAGTTGCTACAATGTACTTGAATGTATAAATTATGTGCCATAGAAAATGTAACTGATCAGAATACATGTCAGCCATTGTATGCTTCTTAGTAGTACACCAACCAACCTGTACCCACCCTCAAACCGTGCACTATGCATATGTTGCATTGATTGTGCTGGCCAATGTATATTATCATACAATGTAAATAGCTATGCAGCTCTTTTGCATGATATACCATGGAATCCCACCTGTCACTTATATCTTCTCAATAAGCATGTACACACTCCGGGTGACTCGTCGAAACGCTTGTGTGTACATTGTATACTGAGGAAATACAAGTGACCTGTGGGATATTTCTGTATAACTAATTCTGAAGTACTTAATAATGATAAATAAATTCTATATAAGCCCTTTGGAGACCATTCTTGTATCGTGGACAATTTTTGCTGTAATTATTGTCACCACTGCATTTTAAGGCACATGTACTTATAGTAATGATAATAAATTTTATTGATGTTATTTTTAGGTCAGAATCTTTGGTTAGTTCAAGAAATGATACAACTGCTCACTCCTCTGCTCATTCATCACAGATTTACCTCAGTCAGGTAATTACTGTATATCTTGTTTGTGCACTCTAATTTATTTTAATTAGTAATTTGATGTCAATTACTAACTAAAGCCCATTTCTTCAGCTGACCTACTGTACTCTTTATGTCTAATTTGTAGATTTTGGTCACTGGAACAGTCATCCTGATTTCTAAGGAAATGGTGGTTAGTACTTGCTAGTTTCTTATGACTGTATGTTTTTAAAACAGCACTTAAACCAAATGTGTGTACATGTAAAATGGAGGACAGGGTGATACATGCTAGTTTACAAGTTAGCATACATATTTGCTTTGTTCTTAATTTATGTCAGATACCATGCATGTAGAAAAAAAAAATTAAAACTACAATTTCTTATATTAAAAAATAACATTTCAATTACAAATGAAAATAGTGACAGGAAGTGGACACCTTATTTTTAAACGTTGTTGTTGTTGTTGTCGTAGTTAAAATTTGTTTTTATTACCAATTGTTAAGATCACAATTGTGGTGTTTACAGAATTCTCTCTTGGGAGTTGGAGACCAGAGTCCTGAGACAGCTAAAATTCCTGACCTAATTGAACATTAAATACTAAATTTTTGATGCTTGAATTTGCAGGAAACAAGTCAAGACGTTTTTGTGGATTTTGTTGGAGTCTTGGCCGATATCATTGAAATGGTACGTTGACTGGTTTATGATCTGGGATTGCTTTTTTCGGGCTGCCCCAACTTGAATTTCCATTAAGAATTGGTTCATGAACACTCGGCATGTTTCTGTCAAGTTTCATGTGGGATCTGCACTTGCAACAGTGATTCAGATTGTATGGGTCAGGGATTTGCTGTGAACATTTATGTACAACATATAATTCTGAGTCCTGGTCATGTTAAATAAATGTACATTGTATGCATAATTGACATGTAGTCAATCATGTCAGCACCACCACACCATGTTAATCATATAAATCAGTCATTTAGTTTTAATTATTTATAAATTAATTTTCATTAGTGGATTTTGTTTTCCATTCCACAGGCAAACAATCCTTGTAATTTACTTGTGAGAAGAACAGCATGTGAATGTCTTTGGGAATTGGAGATGTCATACCCAGTAAGACAGCTTTCTTTTGACTTTTAGTTGCACCCTGACATGTGTACACCTCAGGTACAATATGCATTTGGTGTGACTGCAGTGGTAAATAACCTAGTAAGTAGATAATATGGGTATTTGGTGAGGCTAGAAGAATTGCATGTAGAGATTACATTGTAAATTGTTTATTTATTAAAGAATGTATATTTTTTTTTGTTTACCAAGGGCCTTCTCCATGCAAAGCTGGATCATCTGTATGCCATATGTGGTGCTGAGAACAGTCCTGTCTTCCAGAGCTACACGGTTAGTCCTTGTAAACAGAACATTTTTAAAATGAAAGATATGAAAACACAGATCTCAATGAGGTTCAAACTCAAGAATAATATGGTCATGAGACTGTATTATGCTCTTCTACTGAAATTTCATGTATGAAAACCACTGTTTGAAGGTCTGAACATTCTCTCTGACATTGACATATGGTGTAGAGTGCAGGGAAATCATACAGAATCATAGCCTAGATTCCCAGCCCTGTATATGAACCCCTTTAATGTAAAAGTTCTTGACTGTATGACCAACTGTAAAGTGTTTTCCTGTTTCAGGTTTTGTTTGTTACTGTACTACGACATGCCATAGAACTTTTACTTCAAGAGTCTGGTACTAAGTAAGTGATGCACTTGCATTTTAATATAAATTATTACATACAAAAGCAGAAAGTACATTGTACAACAAACTGTGTAGTTAGATACACATTATCTTTAACTGAGCCTTCTTTGCGAGAAAAAAAGGCCTTGAGTTTGCATTTTAATTCCTGGTTTCTTGCTTCAGAGTTTCATGTAATAAACATATGCTTCTGAACCTTTAGTGCATATCCACATGCTCTCTCTATGTTTTACTTCAAAGTTCTCTGAATGTTTGAATTTTTTATGGCAGACTTTGCAAACTACCTAGTGTGTGACTGACAGAAACAGTACAGTCAAAAATACCTGTTCAAGAAAATGTCATGTGCACACAAATGTTACATGATTGAATTCTATTTGAGTGATGTTCACTTGAACTTTACCTCTTGTTCATTCGTTCAAATTCATGTGCACGCCCACTTAAGACTAACCTGCATTTCTGGCTGTCACTTAGTTTTGCAGTCAAGTGACAGGTGGAAAAACGGAAAGACATGCGACCTACTAATCTCTCTATTCTTTGAATCACATTAATGGGTCTTGAATATTGCCTGCCATTCATTTCTGTGTTCATAAACAGGTTAATTTTTCTGAGAATAAGCAAATTATTTGCAAAAGTTGAATCAACGCGCAATCAAAATCAGATGTTTAGGTGGCAAAATTTAAACAAATTGGAAGAAAACAGTTTGAAAACTTAGGTCCGCGTAGTGTACAGATGGCTCTGCTGAATCTCTTGCAAAGGTTCCTCCGCAGCACCTTATGTGTGACTTGGTCATGGCATTGTTATTTTCGTTATATACTGGGTGAATTCCTTTTTTCTTTTTTTCAGTAAAATGCTTAAACTTTCAGTTAGACCTGCTGTGTGCATATGTGAATTGTAACAAAAGCTCTAAATTTTGGCATCATAATTGATTTTTGAAGTCAACTCAATATAAACTTTAAATTTTGATGATGGCAAAAAAGTTCAGACACTTACTTACATGTATCATCAGAATGTTATTAATATTAATCATTTCTGATCAAATACTGTTTTTATCTGGCAGATTGGATGACAATTGTCTGAATAATTTACTCACAAGTCGCACAGAACCACTGAAGGTAAATGATGCAGTGGGTCATCGGGGATGATTGCAACATGTTAAAAAAATGTTTAGTGTCGTTATGTAGCGACTAACCCTATGTGGCCAATCAGACGGATGGTAAAAAAAAATAAAACGAAACAGAAGTAAAAGCAAACAAAAAATACATTTCAAACAAGTATTCAAAATATAATTAAAATTGTTTTAAAACATGTGAAGCCCTATTCAATGTTAGAGTTTCTGGACAAAAATAGTTTTCCTTCAGATAGCATTGATAGCTAACTTTTCATTAATATCTGGCATTTTTTTGTCTTTCTTTTAAGCCTCTTTACCTACCCAAACAAGCCGCAAATCAATTTTTACAAGTGCCCATTCAGGTGAGAAAGCGTTCGGCAAGTTCAAGTGCTGAACATTCGATCTTCTGAGGTTTGTGGTTGTCGTTATATTTGTTTCGTTGGTGTGGTGAGCCGGGGTCAAGCCTAGACGAGGGGATGGAGGGGGGTAGGGATGTATGAATCAGGATGGTTATTATTGTTATATAGTGGACGCTCTCGTAAGCGGACACCCTCGGGACGCGAAAAAGCTGTCCGTAACTGGAGCTGGTCGTTTACGAGAATAGTTCTCGTAAGCGGCCAATAGAGGTGCAAGGGAAAGATGGCCGCCAACGGAAGCTTGCCCATCTTACAATAAACATTGGGAACACAAAAACACCACCAAATTATTTAATTAATATGTTTTGTTTTAGTGCCGCTTGTGCAATGCCGCGATAATGGCCATAACTGTACGTACACAGTGCTGTATACTGCAGTACTAGGACTGGTACTTGCAGTCAGCATTAGTCTAGCATCAACAGTCTCAATGTAACAAAAAGCAGTGATACAGTTTACAAATGTTTATGAGTGTCTTTTAAAGTCAAGGCTAATTCCTTTCAAGTGCCCATTTACGGGAGCTCAAAAAAAGGCAAAAAGTCTACATGTAGATCGTAAGTCCTCCAAGTGTCTGCGGCAGCTTACGAGAATGTCTGCTCACAGGAATGAGTAAATACAGAGTTTGTATGAGGGTTCAAACAGAGTTTTGTGAAAGCAGTCGTTAGTAGAGCTACCGGCTTACGAGAGTGTTCGTCAAGAGAGCTTCCACTGTGTATCCTTGTAAACTCGTTTACAGCCGCCCACGCTCCTCACGAAAAATTCGAGAGGAACTCTGCGCGTTACTGTCGGTAATCCTCCATAGGAAAAAAGACGGCGACTGGTATATTTACCCATAATTCTTAGCGCACAAAAACTTTAACAACGTTCATAAACACATAAGGAAAAGTTTTGAAATCTTCAAACCTAGCATATACAATGTCGTTAGCACGGAGACAAATAGGGCAAAAATATAGCTTTCTTTCTTTCGCTCGAAGTGTAGCAAATTTTCATTGTGGTCTTGAAACACTTTACTCTCACAGTGCCTCTCTGCACCCAGGTTTATAAATAGGTGCCGGTGAATCTAATGCTGGGGTAACCCTGCGATGGACTAGCATCCCATCCAGGGGGGAGTAGAAATACTCCTAGTCGCTTCATGCTACAGAAAGCGGGATGCGCTCCGGCCTGATGGGCCGCTGGGCTTGTATGCAGACTTTTCCTAATCGTCTTCATTTTTCTACAGACTGGAGCTTTCAGCTCCAGCCCCTTGACCTTGCCAGCAAATGTGGACACTAGAGAATTAAAACGAGCGATTTCCTTCTTGATGGACAACATTGGTTTTGTCAACACTACGGGGCTTTTCCATGTCATGTTTCAAGTATGTTTTTACAGTAAGATTCTTTTTGTTTTCAGCAAATGCTGTAATAAGTTGCTTGCTTTAAAAATTACGAATACATAGCATTGTATCCTACAGTAGTTTGGTTTGTGCATTTTTGAAAAATTACATATATATTAACACTTTCACTTATAAGCTTTCATGTATGCATATCCGCCTTACACTGTATGTTAGCCTGCGTAGAAGGCGTTTCCAAAAAAGCACGCGAAGGGAACGAAACTGCGAGCGAATTTGAGAAATAAATAGTAGGGGGAGGGGATAAGGGGAACGAAGGAAACGCCTCCAATCAATCCCAGACATTTTACCTCCCCCTTCACGCTCACCCCCTCCCACTTCTCCCCCATTTTTTGCTCACCCCAGGCGCGCTCCTTCGCTCGCTCGCTTGTTCTATCTCTCCACCAGGAAAAGGAAAGGAAAGGAACCGGCTGCTACGCAGGCTAACTGTATGTCGAATTTTAGCCTTTTTCCTTTTTTCTGGCTTTGATTTGCGTCAATCTCGGTAAATTGGCTACAGATTAGATTATAAACACTGACCTGGACTGGACATTTTTCACTTGTTTGCACATTGAGACAAACTTCTTTGCTTTGTTGCAGAACAAAAACTTGTTTTGAGCTTTTTTCTGGCAATTAAGAGCGAAAAAAGCAAAATATAAACTAAAATTAGAAATAAGGTGGATATGCCTACGGCCCTAGCCTTCGATTAGATCAAGACAAATGACATGATAATCAACAACAAACTAACAGACTATTTAAAAAAACAAACAAACAAAACAAAACAAACAAAGAAACAAAAGCGAAAAAAGGCAAAGCATAATTATTCTTTGTTTAGTTGTAAACCCAGAATATTAGACAAGTTTTATTTTACAGAAGACTACGTTTGTGTTGCTCTTGTCGCTCTTGTAATGTTAAAACTAGTTGTCCTTTGTGTTTGAGTTAATACCAAGGCTGTATTGTCGTTGCTCTTTTTTGTTCTTTTTTTTCCAGCTCATGCAATGTGTGAAACTTGCAGAACTTGCACCAAATGTAAGTTTTATCAAGGCAATGGCTACATTTGTATACAGTACTACTTGTATAGTAAAACACCAGAAAGTAATTGTTTCATCGTTCTTGTAACTGGATTTACCAGGCAATCACTAGATACTCCTAGGTTTCAGTTAACAAGTAACCCAAAACGTCCTAAGAGATTATAAACTTAGCGACACTTTCTTTTTTTTTTAAATCAGTTCATTTTCTATTTGATTTGTCAGACCTTTAAGTCACAGTTTATCACCTGGGTTTCCACCACTGATCTGTCTGTGTTTCACGTGTTGCTGCTTTTAAAGGTAAGAGTACAGTTCAGTGAAAACGCCACCTCTCTTTGGAACTAATTCACAAATCAGCAATGGCTTAAAATGTTGGAATAAATGTAGATAGATTCGTGGCTTACCAAGAGTATTGTATACTTAATACTTTCGCCCGACTTTGGAGCAATCTATGTACACGCTATAAGCTAAATAATAGTAGAGCAGTTTCAGTTGAGTGTCGTAATTTAACCAAAGCCAAAGTAACCACTCTATTGATCACAAAGGACAGACAGTACAGTGAACCAATCAAAACTCAATAATTGATTGACTATTTAGTATTACAATGTACATGTAAAGATTTATCTAAAAACTACACAAGAGCGTGTTTACCTGCATATGCTGTACAGGTTTGTTCGCTTATCACTGCGTTTGTTTGCAGCTTAAGTTTTTAGGGGATTTGTTTCTTGAAGGAGATGAACTTCTTCTGCTTCAAAGGTGAATACAGTACATATGTTTCTCTTTTAAGTATTTCAGTGGTTAAAAAAAAAAAAAAAAGATCTCAGGCATTACTTGTCACCGACTTCAATTGTAAAATAGTTCAAAATGAAGAAATTGAATCTAACGTACAAATAGCTGACTTGTTGCTGTTGTTACTGTTGTTGTACAGTATATTGTCAAAAAAAAAAAGAAAAAGAAGTTAAAAAGAAAGACAATCACAGATCGCTGCAGTTATCTTTATAATTTTCAGTTTAACTAGTTGACAAGATAACCTCCTAAAAATAGTTTCCAACAAGATCCAAACCTACAGATTTTGGAATCCCTATAAATGTAAGCAATCTCGCCTTAGAGTGATGACGTCACTGACAGCTGGTCAATTGTAAGCTCTATTTATGTATGTGCCCACAGACGTACAGCGTAAAACAGCAATGAAAGTTACAACAGCCTACAGGTACTTCACATGCATTTATTTTGCAGAATGTTGTTGATATCAAGTCAACCTACTCTGCCACAAGGACAGCGACTGTTGTGTTTTGAATGGCTCATGTACTTTCCTACTAACGAGGTAAAACTGGGTTGATAAGTGAATTACGAGTGTGAATTGTTCTAATATTTTTATAAATTCTTGTGTTTGCTTCATCACAACCCAGCATACTGACCACATAAATCCATAAAATTTTAGTTCTTATTATGGGCCACTTGAATTATTCTTTCCACTTCACGTGGAGCTTAGGAACACACTTAAGCCGCCCGCCATCTTGTTCTGTTTTGGGATAATGTCTCGCAAACTTCTTACCGTGTGATTATTTTCATTTTGTCATGACTACAAGCAAAATATCTTTCTTTTATGTGGAAAATTCAAGCGTTCTGACTGGTTCTTTCTCTGTCGAGATTTTGCCATAACGACAACAAAACGAAAACGTCACCAAACAAACGGTTTGATGAGTAAAACAATGGCTATGCACGTGCGTTTTAAATCTTTGTACACTTCGTAGCCGTCCTGCCCATTTTATAGAACGCGAACGACGGCGGCTATTGTTTCGTATTTTCATTTGAAATTGAACGCTGGCGTTACCTATTTAGCTTGAGCAAGTTCAGAGACCGATAAGCGCACTGAAGAGATCGAGACAACTGCGAAATACCTAGACAAAATATAAATTCATTTTTTACTAGGCGTTGTCCTCGACGTCGCCGTCGTCATTGCCTAAGCTCTCTAATATTTGTACCCTGGAGAACTCCTGAAATTTCATCATGAATATCTGATTAGTACAAACCGTGTAATCTTGTTATGCAGTAGCACTATGATCAAATGTTCAGATTTGTGCCAGTAACGTTATTTTCTGCAACATCTGTACAGAATGCTCCTGAGTTGCAGCCAAGTGTTCCTCACTGCTTGGATTATTCACAGTTCAACTTCTTTTACCCATCTGTGTTTGATTCTTTAGGTAGGTTCATGTTTTCTTCTGAATCTCCAGCTTTTAAAGCCCTTTAAAATGACGACAGTCAAGAAAAACCACCAAAACATTTTCAATTCTTGGCAAAATTAAGTTTAAGCCCGATTTCTCTCATATGTTGCTCTAAAAAAGTATATATATGCGATGTAGGCATTGGGTAGAAAATAAACCAGAGCAGGTTTGTCTATCCATCAGAAGCCCTTTTTTATTTTAGGAAAATAAGAAGTTTAATATAGTTAGCCCAAACAAAGATCTTCCTTTGATGAAGGAATGACGTTGTGAGAGTAAAATGTATCACCCTAGAAAACAACGCTGCGATTCTGGCCTATTGTCAAAGTCAAAATGATCTGTTTGTTACACAGCACGATAACCATTTAAAAGGCAAGGTCACACAATTTCAGCCCTTACCAACTGCTCAAAAAATTAGCTGAAATATCCCAATAACGACGGTTAAAACCGTAAACGAAAGAAATACAGAGAAGGTAACAAGGGACATGACTGAGCAAAACTGGAGAAAGTTGCATTAGGATATATTCGAAAAACATCGGCCTAAGGTTTTTCGAACGTATATCAATTTGTGTCGATGTTGTTCATAATGCTCGGAAATCATCGTTCTTCGATATGTGGCCAAACGTTTGCCAGGAAAATACTGCCGCTTAGAACTCATAGTTATAGTAATTAACAGAATGACCTAAAATACCGTGACCTAGCCCCTTTAAGCCACTGCTTCCACTGTTAATTCAACACTGTTCCTTTTGTTAGTGATTATTGTTTTTGTTTATTGTTAAATGTTAATGTTATTTTTTCAGATGTTACAGTTGATAAACTTAAAGTCTTGTGCCTATGTTTGGACCATGAAACTTTAAACTCACCAGGTACTAAAGACTAAAACAAATGTAAATCGTATTTATAGTGGTCATGCACGTAGCTATACAAGCACTAAACTTGGCTAGTTTACAGGCATGCCACTGAAACAGACGAAACAATCTTTCAAATAAACGTAACATAGTTAAAAATTCCAATTGGGAGGAGGCAGACCAGTTGGCTATTTACAAGGCGTGATCGAGGATTTGAACTCGGGACTACCAAGAAACAAATTCCGCTAGTGGCAGGGTGGAGGCCTTGAACCCGGGACCTCCGAATTACAACACCGGCCCCTAAACCACTCGGCCACGCTGCCTCCACTAAAAGTAATGAGTAATCACTTCACCTGTCACCAAAAATTACAGTATATCCATTTATAGCCGTTGAGTTTTCAGTGCAGGAGGACCCCTGGATGACTTCTTGTAGCTGCTAACGACAACGTTAAACCACATTCATCTAGCGGCTCTTGCACTCTTTTCCTGCATGTTCATACAGCCTTGCTGCAATGCACTGCTCCTGAAAAACCATCCGTTTCACGTAAACAAGTTTTTTTACATGCACTTCACCCCTTACTGCAAACAGCATCTGTAGAGGTGATAAGACTAAAGTTCTTCCAACTTGCGTTGTAAAAAGTACATGGAAACAAGTAATGAGATTTTGTCTGTGGATGCGGTTACTAACTGCACTTTGTTCTGTTAGATTCTGTAGGTGTTCCTTTGATGCAGTGCCTCGCTCCACTCCTTAAGCGAGTCCAGGAAGGCACTGGAGGGAAGACGGTAGTGGCGCTGTTCAGAAGTATATTTTGGTATTACAAGCATCACTGGGACTCAGAACTTGAAAGAGAAATTTATAGGTTAGTACCTAATACATCTTCATGTTGATTTCACAACAATTTACATATGGGCGAATGTTTTGGTCTCTTGAAATAGTCAATGTATATGTGTATGAGGTTCGCTCAATTCATTGGTATCTATTTACAACATTCATGAGTGCTTTTTACAGTACTATTTTTGTGAATGGACAGTACTTTCATCCAATTTTTGACACTTTGAAAAATTAAAGTTTGATATTTTCCTTCTAACACTCATTTTATTTAATAATTCATCAAGTTTAAACAAAAGAAATTATTACCGTGACGGTGTTTGGATATCTCATATTTTAGTTATTATCATGTTTTTTGACGATTTTATTTCTACGTTTTCTCCTTACGTAGCTTTAGTTTCGATTGAGAAGATATATCAAACACTCAAGATAGTGTCTGACTACTTTTCCAAACACTTTGAAGTTCGTCAAAATACCTCGTATTTTCAACTCTCTTCTCGGTTTTTGAAAATGTGGTCAAACACGGTCTTTTAGAGTTTAATGGGATATTATTTTTAGGAATCGAGAACTCATCTTATTTATTGTATTTACGCGTGAGCAATATTTTCTTGACAGGCTGGTGTTATCTATAGTGACAGATCACCCACAGTTTATACCGCACACAGTGGATTTACTGAACTCTGTGTCTACAGTTACTCCACAAAGGTGAGCAAGGATGAGGTTTACGAAAAATTACGACAGGGCAAAATAACTACAGGGCATTCCATAGCAGATTTCAGAGTTACGAGTTCTACAATGACCATACATTGTACTTCTCGTGATAAAATACATGTATTTTGTTCTACCAAGTTCCACAATTTTACAACATAAGGTGAAGCTTTGTCAATCGCGTGCGACCTCATTTTATAAAATTCGTTTTGGTTTTCGAATACATGAACTGCAAACTGCTTTCCTTGACTTTTCCCAAATGAAGCTTGAAATGTTTGCTGAAAGCTTGGAATGTTTGCTGACGAATCATCACCGCCGATGACAAGAAAAAAAGGAAAAAAAAAGAAGAAAAAAAAAAAAGGAAAGAAAAGTAAAGAAAACAAGATAAAAAGCAAACAAACAAACAAGACCCCCCCCAAAAAAAAATCAGCCGGACAAACTAGCAAACAAAGATTACTAACCAGATACTACAACAACAACAACAACAACAACAACAACAACAACAACAACAACAACAACGACAACAACAACAACAACCACACCACCACAACAGCAATAGCAACAAAAACATCTTTGTGGCCAGAGTAAAGTGTCTTTATTCTTACGATTTTGTTGTTGTTGCTGTTGTCGTTATTGTTTTTATTGCCTTTGCGGCTGCTGTCTGTCACCCTTGATAAATAACAACTAAATAACAAAGTAGTATTTTATTTAGTATTTTAAGTAGTATTTTAATAGTATTTTATTTGTTATAATTTCCCAATGCAGTACATTTCCTAGTGACCTACTGAGATCCCTCAGTGAACATGTAGTGTCGCAGCCAGTGGAGTCCATTCTACCAAACCTGACACATCATCTCAAATTACTGTCTCTTGCTATGAGGGGCAGTGATATACCACCTACAGTAAGTATGATATTAATTGTTTACTTGAGAACAAAATTTCATTTCGATACCTTAAGGACCGTTGAAGAGGAACGCATATTTGTATTAAAGAAAATTTAGAAATCATGGTAAAGTTTTGTTTAAAATTAATATAGTAGTGCGTTGAAGCTGTTAACGGGGTGTCCTCGTGAGTTGCACACGAACAAGATTCATGTAGTCTTTTTCACGTTTCATCTCTTTGTGTTAGGAAAATCGCTTAAAATTAATTACTGTTAACTATCCCATCGACAATTCTTTTATCAGCTACATTTTGTTGGCCATTCTAGGGCGTTTTATGTATGAGGGAAAGTATTTAGTCATAATAACACTGTTTTGGCTAAAGATTCACTTTACTGTAAATTGAAAAACGTTTACTGGGAGTGGGTTATAACAGTATCTGTATCTATAGAGATGTTAACAAACTGAAAAGTACACAGGCTGGAAAAAAGTGAAATGGATACAACAGAAAAATAAATAAATAAATAAGTAAATAAACGTAAAGCGTTTCTCTCGCTAACTTATCTTTTTTAACAGTCACGTTCACTTTCTCAAGGGTGTTG